ATGATTGATGAACCAATGCTGATCAGTTATGCTGGACGATATAAGAAGGTACTGATAATGTATTACTTTTAATTAAATAAAAAAAAAAAAGTGACTAATTCATTAAAGTTTCAAACAAAAAATATTACTAAATTAAATTTAAGAATATCCTTAAATGTTTTATTTTTAAATTTAATTATATTCGATTTTCACATATTTAGTAATAATTATTAAAATGATTAAAATAAATAAAATTGAAGTAAACAGCCTTTTGCATAAATTAAATGATGAAATATCAGGAAGTGTTGTTAAGAAAAAAAAAAAATATATAGGATAGGAAATTGGAAATGGTTGAATTGAATGAAAGAGTGATTTGAAATATTAATTAAATTTCAGAATGAAACTCGTTCAAGACAAAGCTCAGGTGGAAGTCAAACAGCAATTTCACAAGCTACAAATAAGCATAAAATTGATCGTCCTAATCCAACTACAAACAGGTTGACATTTTATAAGTTAATCAAATTTGATGTAAATCGATTGTTCTTTTTCGTTTTTCTGCTGCGTCATTTCCGCCATGACATCAGTTGTTTTTTTTTCTCGCGAAATTTCAACAGTAAAAGAACGACGTAAAAGAACGGTAGAAATAATTTTAAAAAGTAGGCAGTAGAAATAATAACAATAGAAATGCAGTAGAAATAATGACAATAGAAATACGGTAGAAATAATGACAATAGAAATACAGTAGAAATAATGACAATAGAAATACAGTAGAAACAATGATATTGCTATGATGATGACTTGATGCACAATCCGATAATCCGAACAAAATGCATATTTAAATTTATATTTTTTCAAATCCATTTTTTTTTAAATTCAAATTTATATTTTTTTTGTATTTAACAAATCATGCAAACAAGAATAAATTAATTTTCGTTAGAAAAAGAAATAGGTGATGTTAATATTAGCTATACTTTTCACATATCAACTAATTAACGGATTAATTTAGAAGATAATAACTTATAACAATATTAAGCATAATCCAATTGTGACAGAGTTAATTGTGATGATGAATAAGAATACATTAAAAAAGAGTAATTGAATAAATTTAATCAATTATCATTTAAATGATTAATTGAAAATCTTTGAAAAATAAAGCGTTGACAATTTCGAAAGAGTTAATGAAAAGGAATATATGGAATAAATGAATTTTATTTTTTGTTTCAAGTAAATTTTTTTTTCGATTAAAAAAAAACTTGCGAAATGTAAAATTTCATCACAAACTTTTCCATCAAAAGTTTTAATTAATAATTTAAATTCCTAAATTTAGTTACAACTGCCTGTCCTAAATGAAATTTAATTTTTTAAGTCATTTGGTAACAAATTATTATTTAATGAAAAGATTATTGTAAATGAAGTGACAAATGCTGTTAATGAGAAATGTTTTTAGCAAAATAATAATATTTATTCTTGTTAATTCTTAGGCTGAATATTTATTCACTTAGGTAAATGTTTGCAAATGTAAAAATATGCACAAATATATTGATAAGCAATCATTTTTATCACTGATAAAAAAGGCACAGACAAACCATTTTTTGCATTTTCAAAAAAAAAATTGACATCATAATGATGGATTACATCTTATTCTCCTAATCATTCACATACAATGTTATTGATAACTTTGATAAGTTTGGTATTAATTTATTAGTAATTTAAATATTTCGTGATATGTTATGCAACGGACTAAAATCAAATCTTTCTTTAACGAAGTCTATCATCGAATAGAATACTATGAATATTCAAATGTCGAAATGAAAACTCTGTTCAAGTAAGGCATAGCAATATGAATAATGATAATGATAAAATGAAAATAATGATTACGATAGTGATAAGGACGAAAACGATAATTTTGAGTTTTTTTTAAGTATGGTACTATTTCTTCACTTGTGAATGTGATGATAAATATTTGATATTATAATGATAATGATAGG